ATCTCTAGAAAGGTCGCGATACGTTACATGTCTCTAGGAAGGTCGCGATAGGTTACATATCTCCATAGAAAGGTCGCGAGACGTTACATATCTCTAGAAAGTTCGCGATACGTTACATCTCTAGAAAGATCGCGATACGTTACATATCTCTAGGAAGGTCGCGATAGGTTACATATCTCCATAGAAAGGTCGCGAGACGTTACATATCTCTAGGAAGGTCGCGATACGTTACATATCTCCATAGATGAAAGGTCGCGATACGTTACAAATCTGCATAGAAAGGTTGTGATACGTTACATATCTCCAGAAAGGTCGCGATACGTTACTTATCTCCATAGACGAAAGGTCGCGATACGTTACATATCTCCATAGAAAAGTCGCGATACGTTACATATCTCTAGAAAGGTCCTAATACGTTACATATCTCTAGAAAGACCTTGATACGTTACATATCTCTAGAAATGTATTTAACAACAATTCGACCTTTATCTTTACGCAGATCTGTAACGAAGTTCAGGTGGTATACATACCCTCAATGTACAATTATACAGACACTCCAAAGATAATGATGTTTTAACATCGATGTGTCCTTACTGCAAATATTTCCAAGAAGATGAATACCATGTTTTATTGATACGCCAGTATATGAAGATATAAGAATCAAATACCTGCCTAACTATTATTATACGTATCCATCACAAAGAAAATTTGTACAGTTAATGAACAGCAAAAATAGCAATATTTTTCTCAGACTTGCAGTTTGTGTTTATAAGATATTTGAAAGATGATAATATATTGAATATTAATAGAACTGAGTACACCATATTTAGCTACAATCTAATCAGTATACAAGTGGTCCTTCACGACGAATTTTCTTACAACAAAATGTCATTGTACTATTGGCTTCATGGCCACAAATACGAAATAATTCTGTCTGTCTGTCATTACCAGAACATAATTTTGCGCCCGTGGAAACAAGGTAAAGCTATGCTTCACCGAGAGAAATTAATGACCTTCCTGGTAGTGGTTATGGGCTTAATTACTGTCAGATACAGTGTCGTCAAAATATGGAATTGTGTATTTTGTACCGTTATCATGTATAAGTGAAAATCGACTTTTAGCAATTCGTTATATCATAAATTTACACCATCTTATAATTAATCATATAGCTGATAATAAATGAAAGATTGATATTGCTATTCCCTGAATGAAAGATAGATATATCTCTAGAAAGGTCGTGATATGTTACAAATATCTAGAAAGGTCGCGATACGTTACAAATCTCCATAGAAAGTCGTGATACGTTACATATCTCCACAGAAAGGTCGTGATGCGTTACATATCTAGATACAAAGGTCGTGATACGTGACATATCTCCATAGCAAGGTCGCGATACGTGACATGTCTCCATACAAAGGTCGTAATGCGTTACATATCTCCATAGAAAGTCATGACACGTGACATATCTCCATGGAAAGGCCGTGATACGTAAGATATATCCATAGAAAGGTCGTGATGCGTTACATATCTAGACAGAAAGGTCGTGACATGTGACATATCTCCATAGAAAGGTAGTGATACGTGACATATCTCCGCAGAAAGTCGTGATATGTTACATATCTCCATAGAAAGTCATGACAAGTGACATATCGCCAAAGAAAGGTTGTGATACGTGACACATCTCCATGGAAACTCGTGATATGTTACATATCTCCGTAGAAAGGTCGTGATACGTGACACATCTCCATGGAAAGTCATGACAAGTGACATATCGCCAAAGAAAGGTTGTGATACGTGAAATATCTCCATAGAAACTCGTGATATGTTACATATCTCCATAGAAAGTCATGGCAAGTGAGATATCGCCAAAGAAAGGTTGTGATACGTGAAATATCTCCATAGAAAGGTAGTGATACGTGACATATCTCCGCAGAAAGTCTTGATATGCTACATATCTCTAAAGAAACTCGTGATGCGTTACAGATCTCCATAGAAAGTCGTGATACTTTACATATCTCCATAGAAACTCGTGATATGTGACATATCTCCATAGAAAGTCATGACACGTGAGATATCTCCATAGAAAGGTTGTGATACGTGACATATCTCCATAGAAAGGTAGTGATACGTGACATATCTCCAAAGAAAGTCTTGATATGTTACATATCTCCATAGATTTGGTTGGTTGGTTGGTTTGTTGTTTAACGCCGTACTCAGCAATATTCCAGCTATATGACGGCGGTCTGTAAATAATCGAGTCTGGACCAGACAATCCAGTGATTAATATCATGAGCATCGATCCATGCAATTGGGATCGATGACATGCATCAACCAAGTCAGCGAGCCTGACCACCCGATCCCGTTAGTCGCCTTTTACGACAAGCATAGTCGCCTTTTACGGCAAGCATGGGTTGCTGAAGACCTATTCTACCCCGGATCTTCACGGGTAATCTCCATAGAAACTCGTGATATGTTACATATCTCCGTAGAAAGTCCTGACACGTGACATATCTCCATAGAAAGGTTGTGATACGTGAAATATCTCCATAGAAAGTCGTGATACGTGACACATCTCCATAGAAAGGTAGTGATACGTGACATATCTCCATAGAAAGGTCGTGATACGTGAAATATCTCCATAGAAAGTCGTGATACGTTACATATCTCCATAGAAAGGTAGTGATACGTGACATATCTCCACAGAAAGTCGTGACAAGTGACATATCTCCATAGAAAGGTTGTGATACGTGACACATCTCGATGGAAACTCGTGATATGTTACATATCTCCGTAGAAAGTCATGACAAGTGACATATCGCCAAAGAACGGTTGTGATACGTGAACTATCTCCATAGAAAGTCGTGATATGTTACATATCTCCATAGAAAGTCATGACATGTGACATTTCTCCTTAGAAAGGTTGTGATACGTGACATATCTCCAACGAAAGGTAGTGATACGTGACATATCTCCGTAGAAAGTCATGACAAGTGACATATCGCCAAAGAAAGGTTGTGATACGTGAAATATCTCCATAGAAACTCGTGATATGTTACATATCTCCGTAGAAAGTCATGACACGTGACACATCTCCATAGAAAGGTAGCGATACGTGACATATCTCCATAGAAAGGTCGTGATACGTGAAATATTTCCATAGAAAGGTCGTGATACGTGACATATCGCCATAGAAAGGCTTGTGTCGAACTATGGCTTACCCGACACATGTTTGGTTGATTGGATGACGTATGCATACAGTGATGTTGCCACAGAATTGTGCTTGTTTGTTTGTCGTAAGAGGCGACTAACGGGATCGGATGGTCAGGGTCGCTGACTTGGTTGATGTGTGTCATCATATCCCAATTGCGTAGATCGATGCTCATGATGTCAGTCACTGGATTGTTTGGTCCAGACTCTTTTTTGAAGACTGCCGTCATATAGCTGGAGTATTGGCTAAGTGCAGCGTGAAACAACAAACAAACAAACGATCACAGCTTGTGCAATGGCATGGTTCAATTTGAGGTGAGGTGAAATTGGGTTTAACGTCGCGTCCAAGATTATTGCACTTATATAGCGACGTGCATGCACGTGTATGTGTGTGTGTGGCTGCTTGTACTAGTCAGGACTGATGCCGATTTATAGTGCTAGCTCACTGAGATACCATGCCGCAGTTTAACATGAATACCCCACTCAGACACAGTATACTGACTCCGAGCCGACCAGTCCTTGTTTTAGCCCCTTAATGCCGAGCGCCAGACAGGGTAACAACAAGTACAATCTTTTAACGTCTTTTTGTATGACGCGGCCCGGGATCGAACCCTGGACCTTCCGCTCTCCGGGCGGACGCTCTACCACAAGACCACGGAGGCGGTCGGTTCAATTTGAAGGAAAGTTCATATGTGCGTTATCTTAGTCTTATGGGTAAAGCGCCGGAGGTCCGAGTTCGACACCCAACAGGGTACAATGTGTGAAATTCATTAGCCGTGTCATCAGCCTTGTTCTGGCTGCACTATTTTGCTGAGTGCCGAATATATCGAATAGTGTAATTAATATTGTTTTGGGGTGTTTTTTTTAAAAATAATTATTTCGCATTTTAAAACAGACCCTACAGGACCACGTGGCTGGTCTAACGGGTCGTAGTATGTGCAGGCTTAGTGGACATTACTTGTACAGAGCTTCTGATATGCAATCTATCATTACATGGTAGAGTAGTGTAACGTATTGTAACTCATTGTAACTCACTGTCACTGTTGACGGATGTTGTGGGACTCCGGCCCCATGATGCTCTTCTTCCATTAGCATCAACGTTACATTGGTCCTGTTCTACCAGAACGTTTTGTAACCTTTGTCATTGGCAATATTTCAGGGCGGGGACGGGGAACAGTAAAAATAGGCGGCGGGTATTAATTTATTGCACTCATGTTTCGAATAGAACCTGGCTATTAGCGTGCCGAGCGGCCACCTTAACCACTGGACAAACGCACCATCCATGCATCATGTTGTATTGTTGTTTATTTGTTGTTTAACGCCGCCGCATTCAGCAATATTTAAGCGGAAGGCGGTCTTTAAAGAATAGTGTGGACCAGACAATCCAGTGATCGATTTTATGAGCAACGCCCCAAGCCGTCGGGGTATGATGACACGCGATCAACCAAGTCACCGAGCCTGACCACCCGATCCATTCAAGACAAGCATGGGTTGCTCGGACATACATCGTATCTAACTCATCCCATGTGACACAGGTAGCTCTGCAGATAGAGTTGGTTCCACTAGTTTTATACCAGTGCCAGGATTAGACCCGGTCTACCGACACCAACCACTATGCATGTTACAAATTTATGGTTAACCGGGCGGGTGGATTTAATAAATTGAACAATTTCTTTCAAAGATTATGGAACTAATAACTATATTTGTAAGTCATCCTGTTCGTGTGTTTCGCTGGTCTTTAAAGCAGTATCACTTCAAAATTGTGCCACTGAATGATGCAAAAGAAGACCTACCAGACACGTGAAGCCAGACCAGGAACGGCAGGAGACGTCGGGTGTGCACGTCCATCCCCGCTGCAGGCGTCGTCGTCAACGAAGGCGAGAAGGAATGGCGTTGTCAGAAGTCAAATGTGATATCCAGTTCATCTTCCTACCACCGAACTCGGTGATCGTCACTTTTTACCACAAGAACCGCCATGAAACGTTTACAACCGCGACAGTCCTTTAATATTCAACAATTTACGTGAAATGAAAACTGAAAAACACAACCCCTTCTCAGAGTATCATATAATGGCTTTTGTCCAAGAAGATTTATAAATCACAAGTTGTCAGACTGTCGGTATCTTTCCGCGGCAGACGACATGTGCAGCAGGTGACGTGAGCAGACGACGCTCCGAGCAGACGACATCTAAAACATCTCCCGCTATGTTCCTCCGAGGCGTCGCGTTCTGCGCTTCTTGGAAGTCCCACACTCGACGCCCACCCGGAGTTAATATATCACCATGGCAACCAGACACGAGGGTAATCCGTCCGCCAGGAGATTTAATGTTCGTGATGGCACATGCGGATTGTCAATTTATGTAAAAGCAGCAATTATCGTATATGTTCCACTAACGAAAACAAATATTACAATAGGACGTCGCGAACACAGTCCCTCAACATTAGCTTTTAATCAGATCGCTGTTTGGATATTTACAAGTGAGGTCGGCATATTGTGATGGCCGTCCGGTTGTATTGTCATTCGATTCCCCCTGCAACAGTTAAAAGCTTTCGCTGATATGATGATGTTTTGTTTGGGTGGTGGTGTTCTGGTAATGACTGAGAACAGGGAGCTTGGGTTCCTACTCATGAAGCTTTCAGCGTCACCGCGATCACTCTTTGCTTATTTTACCTAAGAGTCCAGCTTGATAGCCATAACGCCTCACTCGTCGCCCTGACGTGGTGGGTTCGCCTCTCTCTGAATACCCACCTTCATCAACCTGAATACCGACCTTGATCTACCTGAATACCCAACTTCATCTACCTGAACACCCACCTGAATACCCACCTTCATCTACCTGAATACCCACCTTCATCTACCTGAACACCCACCTGAATACACACCTTCATCTACCTGAATACTCACCTTCATCTACCTGAATACCCACCTTCATCTACCTGAATACCCACCTTCATCTACCTGAATACTCACCTTCATCTGCCTGAATACCCACTTTCATCTACCTGAATACCCACCTTCATCTACCTGAACACCCACTTTCATCTACCTGAATACCCACCTTCATCTACCTGAATACCCACCTGAATACCCACCTTCATCTACCTGAATACTCACCTTCATCTGCCTGAATACCCACCTTCATCTACCTGAATACCCACCTTCATCTACCTGAATACCCACCTTCATCTACCTGAATACCCACCTTCATCTACCTGAAAACCCACCTTCATCAACCTGAATACCCACCTTCTTCTACCTGAACATCAACCTTCATCTACCTGAATACCCACCTTTATCCACCTGGATACCCACCTTCATCTACCTGAATACCCACCTTCATCTACCTGAATACCCAACTCCATCTACCTGAATACCCACCTTCATCTACCTGAACACCCATCTTCATCTGCCTGAATGCCCACCTTCATCTACCTGAACACCAACCTTCATCTACCTGAATACCCATCTTCATCTACCTGAATACCCACCTTCATCTACCTGAATACCCTCCTTCATCTACCTGAATACCCACCTTCATCTACCTGAATACCCTACTTCATCTACCTGAATACCCACCTTCATCTACCTGAATGCCCACCTTCATCTACCTGAATACCCACCTCGATCTACCTGAATACCCACCTTCATCTACCTGAATACCAACCTTCATCTTCCTGAATTCCCACCTTCATCTACCTGAATACACACCTTGATCTACCTTTGGTTTGCCCATTGCTTCACACTACCGTCCTTCTCGGTACATTGTGTTGAATACAATACAAATTAAGCTTCTCTCTCGGGCTCAGGTTGAGCGGCAATTTTCGCAGTTATTGTTAACGTTGTCAATGCTTTTTAGAGCATGTCTGACTCTGGCCAATGGTCATGACCTTTCTGACCAATCATCATGACCTTTCTGGCCAATAACCATGACCTTTCTGGCTAGTGAAAGACCTTTCTGGCCAGTGACCATGACCTTCCTGGCTAGTGAAAAATACCTTCATGGCCAGTGATCATGACCTGTCTGGCTAATGAAAAAGACCTTTCTGGCCAATGACCATGACCTTCCTGGCTAATGAAAAAGACCTTCACGGCCAGTGATCATGACCTTTCTGGCCAATGACCATGACCTCTCTGGTAAGTGAAAAATACCTTGCTGACCAATGGCCACTACCTTTCTGGCCAATGACCATGACCTTTCTGGCCAATGACCACTACCTTTCTGGCCAATGACCAATACCTTTCTGGCCAATGACCACTACCTTTCTGGCCAATGACCACTTCCTTTCTGGCCAATGACCATGACCTTTCTAGCCAATGACCACTACCTTTCTAGCCAGTGACCATGACCTTTCTGACCAATGACCATGACCTCTCTGGTAAGTGAAAAATACCTTGCTGGCCAATGACCACTACCTTTCTGGCCAATGACCATGACCTTTCTGGCCAATGACCACTACCTTTCTGGCCAATGACCACTACCTTTCTGGTCAATGACCACTACCTTTCTGGCCAATGACCACTACCTTTCTGGCCAATGACCATGACCTTTCTGGCCAATGACCACTACCTTTCTGGCCAATGACCATGACCTTTCTGGCCAATGACCACTTCCTTTCTGGCCAATCATCATGACCTTTCTGGCCAATGACCACTACCTTTCTGGCCAATGACCATGACCTTTCTGGCCAATGACCACTACCTTTCTGGCCAATGACCATGACCTTTCTGGACAATGACCACTACCTTTCTGGACAATGACCATGACCTTTCTGGACAATGACCATGACCTTTCTGGACAATGACCACTACCTTTCTGGCCAATGACCATGACCTTTCTGGCCAATGACCACTACCTTTCTGGCCAATGACCACTACCTTTCTGGCCAATGACCACTACCTTTCTGGCCAATGACCATGACCTTTCTGGCCAATGACCACTACCTGTCTGGCCAATGACCACTTCCTTTCTGGCCAATGACCACTTCTTTTCTGGCCAATGACCATGACCTTTCTGGTTAGTGGAAAAGTCCTTTCTGGCCAATGACCATGACCTTTCTGGCCAATGATCATGACCTTTCTGGCGAGTGACTATGACCTTTCTGATTGGTGAATTCTATAAATTCAATAAAGTACTTGTGAAAAATTCCACGTATATTCTGTCCAATAGACGTAGTTGACAACATTCGGACCCACTAAGCTCATAACGCTAGGTCTTCAGCAACCCATGATTGCCACAAAATGCTTGTCGTAAGAGGCGACTAACGGGATCGGAAGGTCAGACTCGCTGACTTTGTTGATGCATGTCATCGTATCCCAATTGCGTGGATCGATGCCCAAGAATGCCAATAACTTGATTGTCTGGTAGAGACTCGATTATTTACAGACCGCCGTCATATAGTTGGAATATTGCTGAGTGCGCCGTTAAACAGCAAACGAACGAATATAATCACAAATGCCACGGTTGTGTTCTATCCAATGCTTGTTACCTAAGTGGTAAAATGGATTAGTCCCAATCATACCCCATCTCTCATACACCTCCTGAGAATATGACTTGTAATATATAAATGAAATGTCATTGGGTTGTTTGGGCTTTAATAGCCACATAAATAATTCAGCAACGTTATAAATTAATATCGTGCACACTTTGTTACTGAGTATTGTTTTTATGATAATAGGTTACAATAGTCATGACAAAACAAATAAACTTAATTAACTCAATTTGTAATGTAACCATGTGTCAGTATTGCACTTTTGGTAGAATCACCCAATCTTGTTCTTGCTATAGTGGAGTGTTGAAAGTATACCTGGGGCGTACCTATCTGTGATGTAACAAAGTCAACTTTCTGCAAACCTGTTTGTAACAAATTCAGATATCTCTGACGAAATAGGCACAATTTCGTAAAAAAGAAACATGTAAATTGAGAAAACTCAGTATTCTTGTAAGAAGCCGAGGTGAAAACTTACAAATGTAAGTTGTTTTCGTGATGAAATAGTTCATTAGTTAAATGTATACGGGTAGAAAATAAAATAAAATATGACCCTACTGGATCTGACCAGATCAATTATTTTACCAATTAACTTCAAACGTCTTTATTTATTTGATCTTAATTAAACAAAGGATTGAGTCTAGTAAGACTGTCCATTACCACAACAGGTAAATCTCATATCTTTTGACAAGCCATCTCTTCCCACTGGGGGAGGTCGGGTAGCCTAGAGGTTACGATTCCCGACATGGGTACAATGTGTGAAGCCCATTTCTGGTATCCACAGCCGTGATATTGCTGACCTTGCCACAAATCACTATACTATCTGGAGTTACCCCCCTTGCACTGATACCTTCTCGCAACGTATCACGATTGTCGGTAATGGAAATTTAGGACAGATAATTCTACATCGACATACAAAACTACTGAGCATGTTCGTATGAGGCAATGAAGTAGTCAGGGGCAGGTTTAGAGTACGACACAGTTCAGCTGGGAGTATGGTCACTGTAAGAGCTGGGAGTATGGTCACTGTAAGAGCTGGGAGTATGGTCACTGTAAGAGCTGGGAGTATGGTCACTGTAAGAGCTGGGAGTATGGTCACTGTAAGAGCTGGGAGTATGGTCAATGTTAAGAGCTGGGAGTATGGTCAATGTTAAGAGCTCGGAGTTTTGTCAATGTTAGGAGCTGGGAGTATGGTCACTGTAAGAGCTGGGAGTATGGTCACTGTAAGAGCTGGGAGTATGGTCACTGTAAGAGCTGGGAGTATGGTCAATGTTATGAGCTGGGAGTATGGTCAATGTTAAGAACTGTGAGTATGGTCAATGTTATGTGCTGGGAGTATGGTCAATGTTAAGAGCTGGGAGTATGGTCACTGTAAGAGCTGGGAGTATGGTCACTGTAAGAGCTGGGAGTATGGTCACTGTAAGAGCTGGGAGTATGGTCAATGTTATGAGCTGGGAGTTTTGTCAATGTTATGAGCTGGGAGTATGGTCACTTTAAGAGCTGGGAGTATGGTCAATGTTATGAGCTGGGAGTATGGTCACTGTAAGAGCTGGGAGTAGGGTCAATGTTAAGAGCTGGAAGTATGGTCAATGTTAAGAGCTGGGAGTATCATCAATGTTAAGAGCTGGGAGTATGGTCAATGTTATGAGCTGGGAGTATGGTCACTGTAAGAGCTGGGAGTATGGTCAATGTTAAGAGCTGGGAGTATGGTCAATGTTAAGAGCTGGGAGTATCATCAATGTTAAGAGCTGGGAGTATGGTCAATGTTATGAGCTGGGAGTAAGGTC